CATTTACAATTCTACTATGCTTGAACGAGATATGTCCCCCCTTTGGGAATGGCCTAAAGACACTACAATCAGCGGCACTGCCCCGGGGGGTACCTGTATCTTTCTTTTTCTTAACTTAATACAAAAGTCCAAAGCAGGAGATACAGAGAAATCAATAATTAGACTAGCTGAGATCACTGAAAAACGCCAAAATTACAACGTTGTGAGAAAAACGTCACATGAACTACATCGGTTTATTAAAAAATAGCATTTGTGAGGCATCGTGGTGACATCAGGCGCTCGTCAAAATAATGAAATAGAAGAAAACAATATTTTTCTGCTGGGTTGGCAATTTTTATTTTTGTTTTTTGATTCAACACTTTTTAAGTTTATTTAAAAAACCCATTTCTGTACAGATTTCCCTGAAAAACGTTCACTAAAGGCACAGGAAATGTCATTTTTCATTTCTCAAGGACTCTCAAGCTGTAGCAGTTGCTAAAATTTGGCAGCCATTTTCTCGACAATTTTACCACTGAAACCAGGTGACCCCCACCTTCTTCAATCGGAAATATCTCGACTTCTTTTCAAGATGGATGAGTTATTTGTCATCGCATGCAAGACTACTGAACAAGCTTTAAGATGATGCCATTAACTCCACATGCCCAAAAATTGATGAGCGCATGATTCCACCACGTCGTGACTCATTTCTTTGTAGAGTTCTTTGAAGAACTCAAGAAAACTCACCTTTACTCATAGAAATGTTGAGAGAAATGAATGGATTCTGATGTCGATTGTACATATGGTAGACCTCATTCACCAGTTTTACAATCTGAAATGTCACACAAAAAGTCTGGTTATTCTACCAGTAAGTATTTCATTAAAAGAATTGAAACAGTCAAGACTCAACAGGAGACAAGTAAGTCTCAAGACTGTCCTTTCCCTTTGACAAGAATAAATGAAAATAAATAAACAATTACATTTTATTGATCTGTGTGGGGAAATGATTACAATAGCAAAAATAATCATATCTAGTCCATTAATGTCTGACAAATGACCAATACATCTACAGAAGAGATTATTTTTCCGGCGAAATAGTAGAGTTACAAGAACTGAAGGTTAAGATGACTCGTGGCTTCTGCTGTGGCCAATGAGACCAATTCTGGCAGAGAAAAGTTTGCCACATTTTGAACATTTAAAAGCTCCACTTCCACTTGTGGATGCGCGCAGCGTCTCGCTTTGTTTCAGCATTTCTTATTTGTGAAGCATCATATGATTTGCTGTTCACTGTGACAGCTGCTCTCCAGCTGGGCCTATCAGGTTAGGCTCTCCTATGTCAAAGCATTTTTGTTGAAGTCCTTCAGAGAAATGTTCAGGGTGTCTTTGTAGCGCTAATGGCAAACATACTATACATAGGGATGCCACTCAACTTTTTTTTAAATAGCTGAAAATCCACGCGCCACCGTCTCGTTAACATATGAATATCAATTTGAAACCCAAAGGGCGTACATAGAGAGAAATGACAAACAAAAATAAGCAATGGGTGTACATAGAGAGTCTTCGTTTTTCCTTTATTTGAACATTTGGCGCATGTTGTGGTGTGTGTGTGGGTTTTTTTTTGTTGTTTGTTTGTTTTTTCTCGAACTATAGATTCTATCTTGATCTCAATAGCGGAAAAGCGGATCAAGATCAAAATACTGGAAACACTGGAAAAAAGCGGAAAAGTGGAATCCCAGTATACATAATTAAACACAAATATACATACAAAGAATACCAGATATACAATATTACACCAAGGCAGAATAATTTTTACAACCGTGCCATTGCTAGTCACCACTGGGTTGTGCCCTGACATTTTTTAGCTAGAGTTATCAGGCCTTGCTCAAGGACACAACCCAGTGACCACCCATCTAAACCACACATCGCCGACACTTACTTAACATTATTTTTGAGTCTGCACTCACTACTCACTCGGTCACTATTGAATATTGAATACGTCATTTACACTAGGAAAAAGTTCAACGCATCCTGTTTCTATTCTCTTTGTTTGTAGAGATGACAACCTTTGAGACCAAGCACATCAACTTACAGGACCCCCAGCACCTAAGCATCCTGAGCTTAACTGCAACACACTTTAATCACACCACAGAATATTTTATTTATAGTTTTTGTAAGAGTTTTACGGCACTTGCAACACAATAAGGTCATATAAGTGCCGAAGAATAGATCTGTTACAAGAGAGTAACACACAAAAAAGAAGGAGGAAAGATAAAGACGACAGATGTTTGATGGGAAAGAAGAAGCAAACCACACCAGAGCACCCACCAACCACCCACCCAAAGAATATTTGTTGTAGTAAGGTTTTACAGCACTTGCAATTGCAAAAGGTTATACGAGCGCCAAGAAGTGGATGTCAACAGAGAAGTCCAAACGGGGAATCAGGCTTACTCTGCTCACCTCTCTAGCCTCAACAGCACAAAGTCTGCTTCAACTATCAATCACCCCGGAAATAGCAGTTCACAAGAGAGTGACGAACATACAAAAGCAGTAAAAGAAGGAGCAAATTCCATTACCTTGACAGCGTCACATGGCCTCTTGTTGATAAAGATGAACTGTCGGTCAGAGGTGCTCCTGCCCTGTCCATGTTCACATTTTGACACAAAGCCTTCTAGTCTAGAACAACAGAAAAAGACATTTTGACATACGGTAGAGACCACAGAAAAAGACATTTTGACACAAAGCCTTCTAGTCTAGAACAACAGAAAAAGACATTTTGACACAAAATATATAGAACAGAAAAAAAGAAAATGTTGACTTGCGGTTAAAAGACTAAAGCATTTTGATACAAGGTAGATAGAACAGTAAAAGACTTTGTAACGAAGTAGACAGAACAGAAAAAGACATTTTGACACATATTCAAACCTAGGGACAAAAGAAAAAGACATTTTGACACATATCCAAACCTGGGGACAACAGAAAAAGACATTTTGACACATATTCAAACCTAGGAACGACAGAAAAAGACGTTTTGAAACACAGCGGTCCAGTCTGGAGACATCAGAAAATGACGCAGAGAAGACTCACATTTTGACACATAGCCTGGCATAGAAATTGGTAATATGGCCATGGACAGACTTCTTGCCAGGGGTGTCAAGGACAGGGGTTGTAGTCAAACAAGTACAAATGTAACGTACACAAAGGCATGTTGAAAAAAGAGGTCTTGGCAGACTCGTCATTGTTGAGTTAAGAAAAAAAAAGGGAAGGCACTGGGAGGAGGAGGAGGAGGGGTCACTCCTTGCATTAACCAAAGGAACTTTTGGAAGTACAGAATATGTCACACAAGTCACAAGCCTTTGACCCTGATAGTGCATCATATCATACATGCTACACAGCCACCAAAGTCAATCGTATCAAGTTTCAAACAATGACCCTTTTTAAAAATATTATCTCCATTGGCCTTGGCTGTTACCCACAACACAAAAGGAGAGGAATTTTCTAACACCTTGTCAACCTAATGTATGCTTTAGTTCTGGCTTTGGCATTTCTGAAGTTAAATGTTTTTGAAAGGGCACAGTGGTACCGAGCGACTAAAATGCAAAGAGGATGATAAAGTTAGACAATCCAGGTCTGGTAGGTGTTCTCCCCTTAAAAACTGTGAAAGTTAACAGTCAGCTCGGGTAGCCGAAAATTTTTAAAAAAATTGAAATCAGGGGTAATACGATCGTATTTTCATACAATTGAATAAATATCGTAACGATTCAGCCAAATTCGTAACGCCGGGCAGTCCTGCTACGAGTCTACAGTATTTCAATACGACAACCACATCATAACAACCTGAAGTTTGCCGAAGACAATTGTTGAACTTTTAGGCCGAAGTCAGAACAGGTAGACTCGTCTGGTTCAACCTGGGAGAACTCCAATAAACTGTTAAGCTGTGGAGAGCAAGAAAAGCACTGAAAAGTAAAGGAGAAGCTGCTGCACTTTTCATTTGCCCCACCAGCATGACTGGCTTCGTTTAGAACTACTCAAAGTTTACATTCAGATTCAAGCCTGAAACAGGGCAACGGTGTCAACTTCGTTATACAATAAACTACAGTACCTGCAGTTATACAATAAACTACAGTACCTGCCGTTATACAATAAACTACAGTACCTGCCGTTATACAATAAACTACAGTACCTGCACCTGCCGTTATACAATAAACTACAGTACCTGTCGTTATACAATAAACTACAGTACCTGCACCTGTCGTTATACAATAAACTACAGTACCTGCACCTGCCGTTATACAATAAACTACAGCACCTGTCGTTATACAATAAACTACAGTACCTGCACCTGCCGTTATACAATAAACTACAGTACCTGCCGTTTATACAATAAACTACAGTACCAGCACCTGCCAAAAGCAATCCCATCTATAAAAATCTCTGTACAAAAGAGCTTCTCAGTGGGGATTTCCCATGCACAGTTCTACCTTAAGGGTTTTATCTTGCAAAGTTGGTGCAATTTTGAACCCATGAACCTTTAACTGGCCACAACCAGTTACCAACCTTGCTTTCAGTCTCAAGGTTTAGAAGCTTACCTGCCTTGTTGACTCAGGGAAATTTGATAAGCGAACCTAACCGTTACACCATAGTTACTGGTAGCCCCTGCAACAGCGTAACCGCTACACCATAGTTCCTGGTAGCCAATCCTAACAAGTTATAAATATAACCGTGGTCTGACAAGTAAAGAGGGTTTCCTCTTGGCAGCACTAGCACATTTACTCATGATTAGATGGAGGTGTTTTATGCCCCTATCTTCACAATTTAGATCATTTAGGAGGCAGGCTTCCAAACCTGCCTATCAGTGCCAACCCAGCTTGAGACAGATACAACACCCCAGCAAAAAAATACTGAGATACTCAATAAAATTTCACCCTTCTTGACAATCCAACTCATGCCTGCTGCGTGCAAAAGCAAAGAACCTAAACACTACACAATAGAGGCTGGCGGTGCCCCTACTCTGCTCATTACAAAGTATAGAGAATAACATATGTGTCACGACGCGGTAGAATCAGGCGCTTGTCAATTTTGGTGCATCTGGAGTTATTGGTATCATCTTAAAGCTTGTTCATTTGATCATCTTTTGATGACAAAAATACACGCCTATATTGAAAAGAAGTCGAGATATCTGCAATGGAAGGAGGTCAGGAGTGCCTGGTTTCAAAGGGAAAAATTAGCGAGGAAATGGGAACCAAAGTTTGGTGCTTTCCAAAGCTTCAAAATTCTTGGAAACTGAAAATTTACATTTGCTGTGCCTCTAATCAATGTTTTTCAGTAAATATCCACACAGAAATATGTTTTTAAATGGACATAAAAAGTGTTGAGCCAAAAACAAAAATTACACACAAAAAAGGTCAAACTGGAGGAAAAAAGCTGATACTTTTGATTTCATTATTTTGATGGGTGCCTGATTTCACCACGATGCCACACATATTATGTTCAAACCTGCTTTGGTCCAAATACGTTGGCGATGTTATCCTTCATCGAGGAGTTGCCGTTTGTAGACACAATAGTGGACCGACTCCTGGAAGCAAACATGTAAGGACACCAAAAGATTTTTAGTTTTAGTAAGTGTTTTACGGCACTTGCAACACAATAAGGTCATATAAGTGCCGAATATTAGAGGCGTTACAAGAGAGTAACAAACATAAAAAGAAGAAGGGGAGATAAGGACGATAGATGTTTGATAGGAAAGAAGAAGCAGCAGCAGCAGCAAACCACACCAGAGCACCCCCCAACCACCCACGTAAATATGTAAGGACACCAAAAGATGAAGCTCACTCTCATAAACAAGACTTGCAAAGCACAGGGTACCCACAAGTACAACAAAGATTTTTACTCTTTCCCTACCAGATTATTTTCCTCACAGTGACCTAGCAGCAAGAAGGATGCCTAACATAGTGGTGGTCTGCAGCCTGCTCGCTGGTTGAAAAGTTACTGTCTCACGGGCTGAGTAGCCAACAAGTCACATTATTTCGTGGGTCTAGAGGAAAACTATTCAACGTGACATTTTGCAAATTTTACGGGAGAAGGAAAAAAACGTTCTCTCGTTTCAACAGAACGCAATTCTTGGATCCGAAACTCATATGAAGTGTAGAAAAAACAAACACGGGCTCATTATATAAATCATTTTCTAATCAATTTGAATATCTTCCATTCTTGTTAAATCCAACAGTGTCACTTTGAATACTTTCATCTGAACAAAAGTGTGGGGAAAACTATTCTACAGTGGTACATAGAATAGTTTTCTTTGTTTTTGACAGAGCCATTTGAGAAAAGCATTCTAACTTGGGCACTTTCAATAGTTTTCTTCATTTTCTACCACCGGTAGCAATTTTTGAAGCGGGAAAGTACTTTAACTGCCACATATAATACTTTTCCTCAAAATGGTGAAAAGCTACGGCTCTGATGTTTTAGCACAAGTTGCGTTCCTTGGTGGAAATTGAGGCCATTGAAAAATCTCCATTTCAGCCGACATGTCACTTAGAATAGTTTTCCCCTTGACCCACGATTTGTTATGCTCAGTTTTTTCTTTTTGACAAGAAGGAAGGATGCTGGAGCTGGGCCTCTGGTCACCAAGTTCACAAAACAGCCTCATAGCTCACCTTTGCATGGTGAGTGTTTTACCACACTTGCAACACAGATTGGTCATATAAGGGTTGAAGATTAGAAAGAAGTGTTACAAGGGAGTAACAAACACACGAAAAAAGGGAGATTTTTAAGGAAGATAGATGTTTGACAGGAGAGAAGGAGCAGACCACACCAGAGCACCCGCCAACCAACCACAGCAGCTCATCTTTATTCACAACAAATCCCACAGCTAACGAAAACAAATACAGTGAAAGCCGCTTACACCAACACCTGCGAGACTGCCGGATATTCCAGTTTAGTCAGGTTTTCAGTTTAGAGGGTTTGCTCAAATAGAAGAAAGTTGTTGTTGCTATCGATCCGGCAACATCTGGGCTCTCGCCCTTCTGTCCAATGCCATGTAGTGATAAGTGCAGGTTTGCTGCAGTTGCTGTAATGTTCTATAGAGAGTGTTGTCAATGTTAGGTCTCGGAGGGAGAAGGGTAGCTCTGATGTCATTTAGGGCTAAATAGAAGAATAAACGCGAGGATTTTCTTCTCTTTCAGTTTACAGCTGTTTTCATATTACCCCTGCTCGGTCTAAGTGGACTCCATTGTACTTGTACCGTATACTACTCACCCCTTTGTGGTTTGATTTGAGCATGTAATGCGTACACCTGTATTAACAATACAGTATGCGTTCAAAACCTGAACCAAACGGGCAAATTCCTTCTTCAGGTTGCGAGTGAACTCTTTATGACGCACTGGCAAAGTGTGAAAAATATTCTGCACGACAACTGAGGTGCCTATCTGAAAAAAGCAGCAAACAATAAAAGCAAATCAGAAATTTACATAAGGCACCTTTTCAAAGTTAGTCTTGCAAAGGCATAAACAATTGCATACAATCAAACAAAATAAATTATTACACAGTATAACACGGATAACTCAAATTTCTCGGGACCGGCCTCGGTAGTCCGAGGGATATCTTACAAGGATAAAGAAGGGAAAAAACAAACGGGACCGCAGGCACAGTTCAACAGATGCGTGATTTCAAGTCTTTTGAGTTTGACCTATCCATGTTATCCGTAAACACCATCTCAGGCTACCACAGTGCACTGCCCTATTTTTTAGCAAGGGCCAACGTGTCTACCTCGAGTCAAATTCCAGCAACCAGCGATAAAAATGCAAAAGTTACTTTAAATTAACTGAAAGTTTTCATGTTCTAGTCATGATCTGACCAGTGATGAGGGAAAACACCAGCAACCACCCATCCAATCGCTGGTATTACTTTAATCATCATCATAAAGTGCCAGATCTGAAACAGACATAGGCGATCATGGTTCTTACTTCATTTCTCCGCTCAGATGCTTTAAAAATTGCCTATATTAACCTGGTCTTTCCCTGTCACCCGTCTGTTCAGGTTTTCCAAAGAACAACAATCGAAAAGTTTGGAACAGATATATTCATACGGCTATCTGCTATTTAACTGTAATACATAACAGCAAACAGCAAGCATTTTCTTTGTAAAAAGGGTTAAAATATCATACCTGTCGAGGCGTCGACTTTTGGGAGACAATTCGACCATTGAGATCAAACTCCAACCGTGTTCCGATATCTGCAGCTTTGTGGCGAGTAGAGATAACCATATTGCTGGATGGGAAAATGGAGAAAAAAAGGAGACCACTTTTAATAATCCTTCCAGGAGTTTGCTTTACTATTGGGGCATGAATGAACATTCAGGACATAGTCCAAAGTATCAAAATATAAGGCAGTGGAATAATAATAATAAATATAAAAATAATAACAATTATAATAATAGTAATGATAATAAAAATAAAAATAATAATTTTTCAAAAATAGCATTTGTATAGTGCATATCTCAGTTCCACAGCAAGATCTGTGCGCTTTAAATCTACATTATTATCCCTGCAGACCCTAAAACACTCAGAAACTTTCTCGGCTTCCTGTGAAGCGTACAATGCACGCAGCTCATTAAGCACTCAAACACTAACAAACTGACAAAATCTTTGGCTGTCTAAAGTTGGATCCCCATTCCCACCTGGACAAAGTGAGGAAAATTCAAGTAAAATGCCTTATCCAAGGACACACTGTCAGGCCCCTGATGGAATTTGAACCCACGACCTTACAGTTGCGAGAGCCTAGCCCTAACCACTAGGTTGCCCATGCCAAACAATTCAAGCACACAAACGTCATTGCTGGCCACAGAAATATCCTTTCTTGGGCTAGACTGCAGAGAAACTAACGCTTCGATCTTAGTTTTTTCATCTTTGACTACCAAGGCAGAGCCAACAAAAATAGATACTGCAAAAATTGATGATATAAAAAAGATTCTGATAAAACCGAGACCCTTACCCCAATGCCAGACCTGGCCTTCACCGAACCTTGTAGTCTAAAAAAAAATAATTTTTTTTAAAATAACGCACTTTTGAAGTCTGTGAGACCCGCAGTGTGCTGGCTAGTAGCAAATGCTGGTATCGATACATCTAACATTTCGTGAGAAGGACTGGCTCCTCTGCGTCATTGACAAGGCCACACTGCGATAGCTCCTCCAGGGTGCTCCCATCTTTGTTACGGGCAAGGGTGAACACTCTTGGATTAAGAACACACCCCAGAGACCACTTTCTAATTTAGATATCTCATCCACACTGCCAAACACTGTGAGCTTTGTTTTGTTTTAGTGTTTTACAGAACTTGCAACAGAAATAGGTGATACACTAGTGCAACCTCAAGGAAGAGTGGATGAATGATTGAGCCACAGGTATGACAGGAAGGAGGATGTATGGCCACATGAATAAACCACTGGTCAAAGATCCAATCAATGAGTTGAGGAGGGGAGATCAATCCATAATCTTCCAACTTAGAACACAACATGTACCCCTCAACCAACATCTCAACCGAATTGGAGTAAAGCAGTCTGCTGCCTGCCCACTATGTGACTACCCCTCAGAGACAGTGGAACATCATCTGTTCTTCTGTAGAAAACTAACTGATTTAAGGGGATGTTTTCTTCCCAAGCTACCCCACACATCTAATTGCCTCTACTCCTCAAGACAACAATTAGAACAAACATGCAACTATTACCAAATGGCATCATGCAGAAGAGTTAATGCTCAGATGCTACTGGATCGCTAACAACAACAACAACATACACAAGTGCAGAAGATTAGTGGTGGTACAAGAGAGTAACAAACACAGAAAAGGAGGAGAGATATAAGGATATGTTGTTATGTTGTTGTTATCGATCCAGCAACAGCTGGGCTCTCGCCCTTCTGTCCAATGCCATGTAGTGATAAGTGCAGGTTTGCTGCAGTTGCTGTAATGTTCCATAGAGTGTGTTGTCAATGTTACGTCTCGGAGGGAGAAGGGTAGCTCTGATGTCATTTAGGGCTGTGCAGTGGAACAGGTGATGCTCCACAGTCTCATGTGCATAGTCACACAAGGGACACATTGGGGGAAGTTTTGGGTTTATTCTGTTTAGGTGGGAGTTAAGCTGTATATGTTCTGTTCGTAGGCGAAAGATCGTGGTCTGTTTCTTTCTCTGAAGGCGGTTGATATTGTCATTCCTTTTTGTTGTGGTCATATGTTTGAAAACTGCTCTGCCTGCCTTTCCCAGGGCCCATCTGTTCATCCACTCTTGTTTGTTGTTGCTTTTGATGATTTGTTTTGCAGTGTTGTATGAAGTTGGAGTGTTGGGTTGTTCCTGTCTAGATCCCCGTTTGGCAAGTGTGTCTGCTCTGTCATTTCCAGGCATGTTTGAGTATCCGGGGACCCACTGCATTACTAGGTTGATGCCACAGGATATAAGGATAATAATCTAGATGTTTGATATGAAAGAAGGAACAAACCACACAGGAGCACCCGCAAACCACCCATGCACTAAGAGTTTGGGCTCCCAAACCGCTCTTCCTACACAGCCTCAAAAACATAAAGTCACTTTATGTCGCTAAAAAAACTTCTTTTCAAATATACAGGTGTTTATGCACCCCCATCAACACAGTCTAGATCATTTAGGAGGTTGGCTTCCATCCTGCCTTTTGGGGAAAACGGCTTCCTACCCACCATGTACAGTCTCTCTCTCTCTTTCTTCTGGTGCCTTTGCTTCATAAACGGTCAGCGATGCCGACAGCACACAGGAACTCAACACTTGCTCGTCTGAGCGAGGCCTCAAGCTGGTATAACGGCGGCTGGGCAAACGGCAGTTTCGGTTTCGCCTTTCTCTTCCACTTTGCGCGTGTCGATCAGTGAATGACGGCTATAGCTGTCGAGAAATCGATTGGCGTGTCAATCTGGGTAAGCGCTGTTGCTTCTTTGGCGATGCTGTCAACTTCCTCGTTCCCAGCCAGTCCAGCGTGGCCTGGAATCCACTGTAAGTGGATGGAACATTCAGAGCTCACCATGTACAGTCGACTCCATCTGTGTTGAACTCACTTATATTGATCTTTTTCTAGGGTCCCACCACCTCTTCTTCTTTACATATTTGTCTGCTTTCGTCTCCACTTTCTGCCCCCACACCCTCATCTCCTTTGCCCCCTCCTCTGGGCTCCTGGCTCTTTCTGCAGCCTTTCTACTGCTACTCCTTGGCTCCTTCTTACTGCTGTCTTTCAGCCACATCCTTGATCTTCTGGTAGGAAAGATCTACACGTACTTTCTACTGCTATTCCTTGGCTCCTTCTTACTGCTGTCTTTCAGCCACATCCTTGATCTTCTGGTAGGAAAGATCTACACGTAGCCTTCTCGGACAAAGGCGAAAAACCTCAGAGGTCCCGTGTGCAAGTTGCGCACCTTAAAATTCCCATGGTGGTCTAAAATCGATAAGAGTAAGCTTCGGTCGCCACCTGGGCAAAATCCAAAATTTCCTACCAACTGAAAATCTTTGGTGTGTCCCGCACGCTCATATGACCCTAGGTAGTTGCGTGCGTCGTAATACACTCACCATAAAAAAAACTTGTGTGTGGCCTTAAAGCTTCCTTTTGTCCTGCTCTAAGAGAAAAGTCTGGCATTACTGTAATCATTACAAACCTCAACGCACAAAGGGAACTCAGCGCCTCTCCCCGGAAGCCAAAAGTTGAGACGTTGATAAGATCCTCAAAGTCTTGAAGCTTTGAAGTATGGTGTTTTAGAGCTGAAAAGATTAAGAAAAGCAGTTGATAGTAACAGGAGAAGGAAGGAAAAGGGCCCTGATGAGCACTAAGCTAGTCGGGTAAGTACAAACTGCCCTGTCATAGTTTTAGAAAAAAATGTACACACTGACCAAATATAATGTAAGTTCCTTATCATAGTGTAAAGACTCAGCAACAAGGCATCGGCTCGTGAACTTGTACAGACAATCCAATATGTACTCACACACACCTTAAATACCCTCACAAGCCCAAAGCAATCCCCAAAAGCTAGTGTTTTACTATAATATGCACAGGTGTCATGCAAGTAAGTCCCTACATTACCATCCCCTCCCTCCCTTCCAGCGCAGTACATCCATGTACATGGCAAACTGTCAGGAATTGAATTAAAAATGACAATCAAGAAATCTTGCTGGTGATATGCTACAACAGTGCATTATATATGTGGGGCATTGTGGTGAAATCAGGCCTTCGTCAAAATAATGAAATTTTAAAAATCAGCGTTTTCCGCCAGGTTTGGGAATTTTTTACCGAATTTTTGTTTTATGGCTCAACCCCTTCTATGCTCGTAAAAGGACACATTTCTGTATGGATTTTATTGAAAAGCATTAATTAATAACCTTCAATAACCAATATCTCAACTTGTATCCAAAATAAATGGATTTTTTTTTCATCGAAAGCAAGACAAATGAACAAGCTTTAAGATGTTACCAATAACTTCAAATGCCAAAAAAATTGATGAGCGCCTGATTCCACATCACGACACATATGTGTATACAGTGTAACTTCCAACATGAGAATCCAATATTCTCGAATTCCTGCTTTTCATGTTTGGCTGGAATGAACAAATGAAAATATTAATTTTTTTTTAAAAATCAACACAGTGAAACTAAACATCAATTACAAGACCGGCTTCAGCAGATAAAAAATATAAACTTATTGTTTGAGGTAAAGTTTAAAGTTGTACAGAAAAAGGACACTACATGTGAAGAAAACAATGGTAAACCAAATACTGGTGGGTGGGTGTGTACTGGACAGCCTCCTTTCCTTGCACACACTAGACGAGTGTGCAGAGCTCCTAGGGAGGTTTACTTTAGCGAGTCGCTACCTTAGAATTACACAGTTCTATCCGCTCAGTACCGAGTTTTGAGCAATTTGAGGTAGAAAATTTTGAGTATCACTTCATGTCAAGCTTTATTGAATGCAGTTCTTCGAATATCTAGATAACGACTCCCCATAATCTTACGATTTTGATAGAGAAGACAGAACATTTGGCTTCTGACCTCATGGTCTTAGTAACTCAAAACGACCTAAACGTCAGAGATAGAACTTTGTAATTCTTAGGTAGCGAAATGTCTCCATTCTTATGCTGGAATTCAGAGTCCACTCAGCCCAGGTCTCAGGTTTGCGGGTCGGCCCCTCTGCCTCCTAAATGATCCAAACAAACCATCTACTACAGGCCTGCCCCATGCTCGAGGCACTTCGAAGGAAATATTGGCCCAACCCTAGACAGGAAGACCACAAACTCTAGTGGAGTCTGGAGGGCCTGCCATGAACTACAGCCTTCGCACTAGAGACTGGGATGTCAATTTACAGATGAACGTGAAGAAGAAGAAAGACCCAAATTGTTTCGATGAGTGGGCAGAATATCTAAACAATTTGGGGAGGAGGGGGTCAAAGGCTGACAAACCACGGAAGGGAGCAAAGTTACCAATAAAGACTGCTGAGCAAAGGTAAGGGCTTAACTCCTCTATCAACACTAGTATTAGATTATTTAAGAGGCGGGACTCTGAATTGAATGTCCATCTACGATAAGACTGAACCAAATGGGTTGAGAGCCTTGAAACCCCACAAAATGAGCTGTGTTCAAGAACGCCCAGTCCAGGATTTGAACCAGGGCCATCGGCTCCATAGTATAGCTTGATACTATCTGAGCTAATGGAGAAGCCTGCTGACACAAGTAAGAAAGCTTTCAGATACTAACTGAGCTAATGGAGAAGCCTGCTGACACAAGGAAGAAAGCTTTCAGATACTAACTGAGCTAATGGAGAAGCCTGCTGACACAAGGAAGAAAGCTTTCAGATACTAACTGAGCTAATGGAGAAGCCTGCTGACACAAGGAAGAAAGCTTTCAGATACTAACTGAGCTAATGGAGAAGCCTGCTGACACAAGGAAGAAAGCTTTCAGATACTAACTGAGCTAATGGAGAAGCCTGCTGACACAAGGAAGAGAGCTAATGGAGAAGCCTGCTGACACAAGGAAGAAAGCTTGATACTATCTGAGCTAATGGAGAAGCCTGCTGACACAAGGAAGAGAGGTAATGGAGAAGCCTGCTGACACAAGGAAGAGAGCTAATGGAGAAGCCTGCTGACACAAGGAAGAGAGCTAATGGAGAAGCCTGCTGACACAAGGAAGAGAGGTAATGGAGAAGCCTGCTGACACAAGGAAGAGAGCTAATGGAGAAGCCTGCTGACACAAGGAAGAAAGCTTGATACTATCTGAGCTAATGGAGAAGCCTGCTGACACAAGGAAGAAAAGCAGTATGAAGGGAATTACTCCAAAAAAAAAGAGTAAATTATTCAAAATGACTCAAAAGATTTCTCATTGTTTCAGACATTTCTTTACCTGAGTTGAACTCCAACTATGTTGGATTTCAACGCTTAGTTGATGAAGCACAGGTCATTTCAAACAGAGAGACCCTGGCAGGACGGCATTGCTTTTTGTTTCCATTTTAGAAAAGAGTTTTACAACACTTGCAACACGATGAAGGCATACAAAGGTCGGAGATTAAAAGTGTTGCAAGAGGGCAACAAACAAACAAAAAAGGAGAGATGGACGACAGGTGTTTGATAGGAAAGAAGGAGAAAACCACGCCCAAGCACCCGCCAACCACCCACACAAAGCTTCTACTTTTGGAGAAAATGTAACGGTCCCTAAAGGCAAACAACTCACTCAGTCCTTCAAAGTTGACTTCCTCTACACCAGCTCCGTTGTCAGTGACCTCAATACTCTCACTCCCATAGTCTTTCAACTTGACTTCTGCAAAAAGAGAAAAGCCGTAACAAAACAAGTGCACAATAATTACTTGGCATTACATCATAAATAGGTAAAAGCAAAGGGATTTGAGAATTTCTTCAAACAAAACACCTGATCATTTTATCGAAACTGTTGTCCAAAATTCTTAACCCTATCTGTACGTCGTGTTTTACTATCATATCCATACGACATGGGGAACTCTGGGCCACCACTTTCCAAAGAGGAAATTTACTCCGAACTCGTCAATCCAATCCATACGTTTTGAATAGCAGTCCGCCAAAATTATTTTTTGAGAAATACTGAAAATTTTGTTCAAAAAGATCTTCGTACTAGAAATATTCTAAAATGTGAAGAATACAACCCCGGGGGTACAAAATGACCCCAGGGCATACAGATAGGGTTAAATAACAGTTCAACTGCTCCATGAGAGATGACACAGAGAGAGTGACAATGAGAAAATCCAGAACAAACAAATCATACCTTACTGTGCAAGGCAAAAAGAACAGAAATGTCACTGAAAACAATTTTTTTAAAGTTTTTAGTAGAGGTTTAACGGCACTCGCAACAGCATAAGGCCATATGAGCGCCAGAAGATTAGAGGTGTTACAAGAGAGTAACAAACATAAAAAAGAAGTAGGGGAGATAAAGACGATAGATGTTTCATAGGAAATAAGAAGCAAACCACATCAGAGCACCCGCCAACCCCTCACCCTGAAAACATTAAAACTTAAAATCAACATCATGTTTACAATTATTCAAAAAGTTCACTTAGTGAAGAGACAGTAGCAGATTTTCTATTTTCTTGAACCGTAAACCAAATTTCTGTAAAGATAAAGAATACAAGTATCTCCAACTCCTCCACC